ACACACACACACACACACAGCCTCTTCCCAATACGCTTTTTAGCAATTTGCATGTATGCAAAGACGTATAAAAACGCACCAAAACTAATTTCAATATTTCAAGACAGTTATGATTGCTGTTCGCTTGTCTGTCCTAGCGCATTTGGTTTCGCAATAAATGTAATTCATTGGTGGGTACATTGATGCCCTCTTAGAAAATGAGTAAAGTAGAATTCACTTGAAATCAACGCCTCGAACAGCACTCAGGCTTGGCCAGCCTGCATTTCAAAACGATAAAAAAAATTATAGCGCAGACAGCTTAGTTAATTCCTTTTTCCTTCACTGCACTGATCAACAGCAATTTATTAGAAGGCAAATAATGAGTCAGTGCAGCAAGCGCAGTCTAGGAGAGCTTGAAATAACTGCGACAGATGCGTTACTGCATCTAAGTAGCGTCAGGAGCTCCGAATGGATAGTTTAAGCTACTTCAATGTTGACATTATTTGATGAACACTGCAGTGTAAAATTTTACCGCTTCTCTGACCAGATGTCCGTTTCGAATAAGAAGCATCATGTTACGTTGTTTTTCACCTTCAGCGTTCGGGAAAATTGCAGTGACATTACGTACGTTAGGTCCAAAATCGATTATGATCGATCCATTATTCGCGACCGGGAAACGTTTTATCTGGGACCCATCGTGCCAGTTTGTTTCAACTCCGCAAACGAAAAATAGAAGTACGACAACAATTGTCTGCGTCATTTAGTTCACTGCAAAATGGAGTACAATGAAGTTTCGAATTCTGAAATCTTGAAGATCTGAAAATTGCAATATTGGCTTAAAGAATTATAAGTTTCTTGAGGAGACTAGAGTATTCTTAATAGTTTCGCCCATCCTGAGAGTAAAAAAGTCAAAAGTTGCTTGTTCGACATCCGGTGAAAACACAGTTCGGTGGTATGTTCAACTTCCGATGATGAGGGATTATGTGGTTGCAAAGCAGACAGCGATTGCAAGCAAATAACCTGGAGGTCGTGACACATGAGGTTCCATCTCAGTTGGACAAGTACAGTCAAGGTAGTTAGTCTTAGTGCTCCTGTTTATCGCCGGCCTTGGGAAAAAAGAAAACATAAAGCGTTATCTTTTCCAGTCCGATTGTTAAGGCATGCTGAAATAGAACCCCCTCACCCTCCCTTCTCCCTTGCTCTCCCCCTCCCCCGCCCGGCAGCACTAAAAATAAAAGTCCACTTCTTATTTTTATGCGTTTTTGCACATATGCGAGTCGCAAAAACGCATGTTGGCAAGAGGCCGTCTGTGTGCGTGTGTGTTCGCATTTTTTGGTTTTTGGTTTTGGTTTTTGGTTTTGGAAAAGCTAGAAGGTTGAAATTTTAGGGGAATGTTCTCTGTCCACTTGAAATTAAAAGATTTCAAGTTTAGCTTCCCAGGCACATGAGGTACCCACGTACGGCCATATGAAAGTTTTGGCAAGAAAATTGCTAACTCGGTACCCAGAAAAGGTGGGAAGCTGAAATTTTAGGGGAATGTTTCCTGTCCAAGTACAACTTAAATATTTCAAATTCAGCCTTGAGATATGCGTGGTTTTTACATAAGGATACTTAAAAGTTTTGGTGGGAAAACTGCTCATTGAACAGCTAGGTTACTTTCGAAGAATGGCCGTTAAATGGAAATTGTTTATTTACTTTATGCAAAATTTATGGTGATTTACGCTAGTGAGCGCAAAAAGTAGGTGTAAAGCAACAACTATTCATGCAGTTAATGAGCTGAGTACTTCAAGTCTGGTGCAAAAATGCATGATCACACCGGCAAGTCTGGTGCATTTCTGCCTGAGTTAATTTAGTGCAAATGCTTTGCTGCGAGTTCCTAGTCGGCATGGTACCTCTTCGTGGTTCAGAAGTGGTAACCAC